GTCGAGACATCTGTGATTAACGAGCTCGAAGGCGGCAATCGTCAAGCAGGAATGAAACGTCTCAAGGTCCCTCCGCTCTCTGAGAAACAAAGGCCGATCACAACATTTTCTCTTGGTCTTTTCATGGGGGCCAGCATAATTCTGATTTTATCAATCTTTCTCTCCTGGTGGGGTGCCGCTGTTCGTCCTAACGAACCTCAATGGGTGGCAGTGCGACTATTCCGGGGACCATTCCTGCTGTTTCTTTCGGTCTTCATGTGTGGAGTCAACATGGCTGGTTGGGCTGGTGCTGGTGTTAACCATGTTTTGATTTTCGAAGTGGATCCTCGACATCATCTTTCGTACCAAACGCTCATGCAAATCGCGGCTTTCATGATCATGCTGTGGGCCTGTGCCGTGCTCGCCTATCTTTACGCCCATCTTCTACACATACCTGCATTTTCTCCTCCTTTGGTACTAATGATTATCTGTGCCGTGGTCTTGTTTAACCCATTTTCCAAGCCAGATTACCTTTTTCACAAAAAGTCAAGGTGGTGGCTCATTCAGCACTGTTTCAAATGCTTCACCGCTCCCTTACATTTCGTCACATTCACGGATTTCTGGCTCGGTGATCAGATGAATTCGCTGACGACATCATTTCTTGACTTCCAGTATTTTCTATGTTTCTATTCCACCGAAGTGGACTACTCACCTGATAATTTTATGGCTGTGCGAACGATAAACTCGACGACAGGAGCTGTACCATGGGGTTACGTCGACATCACCACAGGAAAGGATATGTGCATGTCGGCGTCCGGGGTACGGTCATTCGTTTCTATCATACCTGCGACAGTTCGATTTATGCAATGCTTGAGGCGTTATCGAGACACGAAACGAGTTCATCCTCATCTTGTGAATGCGGGAAAATACTCCACCACGTATTTGGTCGTTGCCTGCGGTGCACTCAACAAATGGGCCGAAAAATCCGATCCCAATGGAACTTCGCCATTCTTCTATATCTGGATTGCATCCTACATCCTCTCATTCACTTACACCTTTTTATGGGATGTTTTCATGGATTGGGGGTTAATCGACCCACGTGCACCGAAGGAAGCGCCCTTCCTCCGTGAAGAAATGATATATGGAAGCAAGTTCTATTACTATGCAGCAATTGTACAGGATTTCGTTTTACGTCTTTCATGGGTTCTCAATGTCTCCCTTGGTGAGGCCTGGACTCTCGATTCCGATTTTCTGACCACGGTGACTGCGCCAGCTGAAGTATTCAGGCGATTTGTATGGAATTACTTCCGGTTGGAAAACGAGCATGTGAACAATTGCGGTCAGTTCCGAGCCGTGCGTGACATTTCCGTAAAGCCGATACGGAAAGGGGACCTCGAATCCTTGTTATCGAAAATGGACCAATGCGATGGTGTGACGCACAGGGGGCAAGACTTGGCTGAGAGGAAGAAGAAACAGAAGAAAGCGCAGAAGACGACCAGGGTTCTTTTGCGCAGAGCACGTCAACACCGTGTGACCGTCCCCATCCAATCCGTACCCATTACTACACACCTCGTTGAAACTCAGCAATAGGTTACTAGATTACTAGAGGTTCGCTAGTCTTTCTTGCCAGAGGTTACTATTATCTGAAGATTACTTCTTTCATGAGTTTTTCGGCTCTCCTTCACATCCACTCTGCTTTACGGTCTAATTTCCTTCACGTACTCGCTGTCTGACGAGCTAACTCATTTGTTCACTTGCGTTGATAGATATCTCATGAAGTAATCATTCCATTAGTGCACATTTTCTTTATCTGATGTCAATTGTTGCTCAATGTTTCATGTTTTCGAAAATAAGTCGAATACGGCTAGTCCAACATGGAGTTTTAATGTATATTATATAATTTATATATTTGTATGTGATCTGGTTCTATTCCCGATTCATTTCACATTGTTAATTTTGAGGATGATGTAATTAGATGTTACTGATCGATATGAACAAATTCGATGATGGGGTTTAGTGAATGTTCATCGAGTGATTTGTCGCCATCAATCAATACTTTTTTTTGCATTCACTTCATTGGCAATTCCTCGAAGCGGCTCGCTGATCCTCGGGAACCCGGGTTTGACATATGGTAAAGAAAAGTGGTAGGTAGGGGGGAGGGCGGTTCTGTACTTGGGTTCTTATGTGTGTGCCTTTATATGTGTTTTCGCACAGCAACGAACATTCGGTGGGGGCTCTTGCTTCTTACCATGAAGTAACGGTGAAATAGAATGCAATGGATGCAGAATTTCACAGACTACATTTCGTTTTAGTTCTATTTGAAAATACCAATCTCCAACCCACCACACACCAGAAAGGTTACTGTCAAGGAGACAGAGGAGTGCTCGTGCTGAATTTTCGTTTCCATCGCTTTTGGACCTTCTCTGTTCCCTAGGCAAGGAAACCGTCTAGCACGCCACCGCTTACACCGTTTGAGTAAAAACAGATGATCGATTGGATGTTCAAGTTCAACGGCATTTTTAACGGAACTTGTATTGTGGTGGTAGTTTCAGTTGCTCAGGAGGATCTTCGGGTCATGGTGAACCGCGCAGCATGTTAATCGTGGAACCGACGTTTAAACATTCGTTCAGAGTAGTAACGCTTGTTGCCATTGGCATCTTTCATAGTCCACGACCGGTCGCGCGACTGGTCGCGACCCACCGGCGACCGGTCGCGCGACTGGTCGTGGACTATGAAAGATGCCATTAAGAACACAGGTAATGAACTCAGCGAAAGATATGCCGTAGATGGGACCCGTACGATAAGAATGAGAGTTCAGTACGGGAACGATTAAAATATAGCGTACACAGGGCTTCGCGGACCTCGTCATGCATTCCACGACGTGACTGTCTTGAATGGCAAGTTGTTGTACAATGGTCGGGTTGGAGTTGGATAGTCAATAACTTGGCAGTGACTTTTAGACCAGGACAAAAGCCGGATCACGTTCAGGCCCGGACCCACGGGCCGGTTACTACAGCACTGGGTTTCAATGCTGCATATTAGTTACCTCGACGCACACCAACGTGTTCTGAATTTTATTCAGACCAATAAGGTTGAATGGGGATACGGCGGTCCAATGTATCTATCCTTAGCTGCTCAAAATATCTTCCACTATTTGGCGTACTTCACTTCTCAAACTAAAATGGAACAAAGCTCTGTTTAGAAGCCATCCTAGGCGTCCGAACTTTTGCTTCACAGCGCAGGCAAGATCAACTTGAGTAACAGGACTTGGTGCTTGTTAAGGGGGATGGAGGATAGATGTACTACTATACTTCAGGAAATAGTTTCGGGGCAGGAATCAATCGAACACAACAGGAACACCCATCGGGCATAGAGACTCAGTCTAAATCGGTCATAAGTCGAGTATAAGAGTACGTCACAATGGTCCTTGGTTCATCACAGTTTCATCGAGCCTGTTATGACTTATCCCTCGGAAGTTCTTTGACCCTCAGCTCATTGCGCTATTTTGACTGTAAAAGGTTCCTTCGCTTCTTGAAACTGTGAAATTGAGAGGGACTGCTAAAAGGTCGGTGGCGATTACCAATTGCACTTAATGATGCTCCTGAAAACAGTCTGAACCCTTTCCCTACCTTTTTTATCCGTTGGCTTTATCTATGGCTGGAACAAGTCGTGCTCTCCCAAGCTTTTCTTGAATTCGAGTCAATGTAAGAGAAGAACCTCGTTCAATTTTTATTGAGCCTTCCTCGTTTTCAAGGTTGATACGAATTTTGGTGCATTCAGGAACGTCTTTGTTTAGAGAAAAATCGGTCTAAGATTAGGAAGCAGCAACTTAATAGCGTATATTAAGGAAGTGAGTTGGGGTGAAATTATTTTCGTCGCAAGCACATCACTTTCGACGGCTTTTGGCGATGGAAGGG